GAGATTGTGTGGTCCAAGAAATTCTGGGAATGTGGATGAATGGCTCAGAAAGAACTCTCCACATTCAAGGGCTCCCATCCCAGGGCCAAGCACAGCAAAATGCTACTGAAAAATTGTTCCAAGAGACTGAAAAGGTGGAGGGATTCATTTGAAAAATGGCCGCTGATGACAGACTTGGGAGCGTTCACTTTTTTGGGGGGTGTGAGTTTGTTTTTGGTGGATAATTAGAAATTTCATGGGTTAAACATGCCAATGCTTATCTTACAACTTTTAACAATCATTTCTCTAATTATTGATGTATACTTTTCACGATGATCCTTACAAAGAATTTCTTATTCTCACAGAAAAAAAAATCAAGATCAGAAGTACTCAGTGAATATTTTATTTCTCAGTTAAAATACATTTTAACAGTAATCAAAGTCAAATTTCAATTTACATGTATACTGACAGAAATTTGTACATCCACAGTCATGATAAATAATTAGAAAAATTACATTACAGTCATGTACAGTAATCCACAGACTGGAAACCAACAGTGCTATACACAAGCAAAAGAAAGTATAAAGGGAGAACATAAAGGCTTCATACACTGGCAAAAGAGCTCAATTTACATGTTCATTTTAGGTATAGTATTTCACATTAAAAAATACACATCAGCATCTGTCACCTGGCCATTCTGATTTTAAATCAACCTTATGTAGTCTTGAAAAAATTCAGAACTGCCAAACTGAAAATGATGTTCGAAATTACAATTGAAAATTTACATTAACAAGAACTAACCAAGTACGAGTTCTGTTACACTATGAAAATACCTGTGCAAAAGAATTTCATTCTGACATCCATTAGAAACATCTAATCCACACAGATCCGTACTTAATGCACTTCAACTAAGACATAAAATTATACATTATTATAGAGATGCAATAAATGGTAAATATCATTAGAAATGCACTTGAACTGCTACATTCATATTATGAAGAAGACTGAACAAAATGTTGAACTTCTTTCTCCAACTCTCCAAAAAGGTGAAGTGAGTCAAGGTTTGCAGTAGCACCATGTTATAATCTCTACTCTGACCTTGTGGACATTATGCTCTGGACATGGACAAAAGTGAGTTTGATAACTCAAACTGTTCGGGCAGTATGCCCTTCCGGAGAGAGCATATTGTCTGAAACACTGAGTTTGTTACACCATTTTTGTTCCTCAGAAACCCAGTTGATCAAAGAAGAAACAATCATATCATGTACCACTTCAAACTTTGACTCACTGCTGTGTCCACCGTGTTATGTTTGAAGTGTGTTTTGGTTGGTGAAATTTTCACCACTGAAACTGTACCGGAAAACAATTTTAGAGGGCAAAATTTTATGAGTATCTTCTTGGCTTTGAGATTTTGCATGAAATTTCTGATATACAGAAAGTTTACATATAATAATACCAGCGTATGGCCAACAATTTGAAATAAAATGTGTGATGTGTTTTGGTTGGATTTTAACTTGATCCCTCAACTAAAGAAAAACAGACATTTGTTTTAAAAGTGGACCTCCTTTGGACCCTGTGGCCCAACCAAGTTTGGAGGAAATGAAACATGTAAAAGATTTTACATGCATGTATACAAAATGGTAGAATTAAGACTCATTTGTGAGTCATTTCTAGTGCAAGGAAGTATCAAAGCAAAATCTTTCCATAAAATGTAAGAAATAAGTATTCAAATTAAAATGTGTATTGTCCTTGTTTTGGATGTACAAGCCTCGTCAAGACGCAATAGCTGGAATCTAGCTCTGAACAACAGCACTGACCAACTGTAAAAACATTATGCCATTTGCTTTTTCCTGAAGAAGATTATTCAAAGTAGTGAGATATTAAGAAGGTCGGTTGGAAATCGTGCCTGAATGTTAAACTGACAAACTTTGAACTTCTTTGTAACGTGTTGTTGCAAAAGATTTGAATTTGTGACAAGCATGAAAAACTTGCACACTAAAGTAAAACGCATCAAGTGATTTAAATCGAACCATATGTTAGCTTCAGCAGTTCTTGTGATTCCTGAAATGTAAAGCTAAGTTTTCCTTTTGGAAAACATTAAGACAACTTGGAAAACAACTTGGACATCATGGAAGTAGCCTACGTATTAATGAATAAAACCAAATTTACAGAACACAGTTTTGAATTTTTTGCAATGCCGCTTGGTACCTGTTATATTTTGACAGAAAAAAAATTGTAATGAATTTACCATGAATGAACACAGTAAATTGACAAAAATGCCTTTCTCATAGGAGAACTCTGTCCATCAATGAAAAGTTTTGCTCAAAAGAATTACACAGAAAATGCACATTTTGAAAAAATTCAACAAAGCACACCATGTGTGCATACGATGACTGAAAATATTTCTTGATGAAATATTTCAGGTATCATTTGCACAAAAGCATGTCTCTCTAAAAACCAATTCCTGGTAGGGTTGAAAACAGGACAAAAATTGTAGTTCCATCAAGGGAAGCATGATGGACAATTAAAACTACAAAATCACACAAAAAACAACAAATGCAAAGTACTACATGGCTTCTCTAAATATGCAATATTTAAAAAAAATTAACTTTCTACACATGTAAAGTGGCATAAGATTTCACAAACAACTCATAATTGTCAAAAATTGCACATAAAATGTCATAACAGATTCAATCACATCACACCAAACTGAATACTGCATTTTAAGCATTTGACAAAATAAAACCACTCCTTTATGTGCAAATGCAACAATGTGCCGGGAAGTTGCAAGTAACTCCTACAGAGCAAAGCCATCAGTTTTTTCTTTTGTACACAGCAGTTTTTATTTTTAAAAAGGAAGCATCTGCAGTAACATTACAAGGGGCACCATGGAATGACAGGGTCAACTCCATCATGGAAAGCTCTAGTGGTCTATATGAAATTTGTAACAGCTATGCCCTGAACTGATATTCCATGCCCTAATCACAAAGACTGAGACCAGCCAAATTACTTTCAAATGGTAATCCTGGTACCATCCACACCTGTAGTGGACGACACCAGAGAATTTCAAGCCTGGAATTTTTGCAGTCGTTCACAGCTGGCAGGGGCGTAGGCTGGTTTGGCTGGGAGGAGGGGTGTGATTTTCAAGAAAGTGGAACTCCAACTTAAAACAAGGAAGGCAAGAGCACACGTGATAAGCAGATTGCCCCAGATACATGTATTTGCTGTTTTACTTTTCGGTCATCGTGTATCAAAAACCCACATACTTTCACCTTAATAAAATACTGTACTGCTGTTTGGTTTAAAATAAGTTGAAGTCCCTTTTGCTGGGGGGGATCCATCTGCATCCCCTATAAACCCCTAGCCTATGCCCTTGCAGTTGGTATGAAGGTTTAAATTCAGACTATGTTCCATCCAGAGTTGGGTTCGGCTTGAGCTAACCTAAACAATCTGCACCTAACTTTACACTAACTAGCACTTCTTTTTGAAATGACTAATCATCAACTCTTGAGTGGTGTTCTTTGGAGGTCAAGCAAACCATGATCATAAGATAAAAGTATCTTAACAGTCATTCATTGGTTGAATCTATACTTACCCACACATGTATCTTTCTCTGCTCAAGGGCAACTTTGGTAATAGAAAAACAAGACTGTCCAATGTGAACCCTTTTAGTTTGCGTATTTCTGTCATGCAGTGCGCTGCCACTTTTCCTGTCCAAAAGGATGTATTACAGAAATTTTCCAAAGAAAACTTTGCTAAACTTGTTCAAAGGAGACTTGCAAAGATGTTAATCCCAACAGCTTTCCTTAACCCTAATAGTCTTCAATCCTCTGATTTCAACATGATTTTACAATCATCCTGAGGAGGTTGGGGTCAAAAGCTTATGTGCGCAACCACAGTCATGGGTACATGCTTCTGTTACAAAGACACCCTTTAACAACGTGGAGTATTACTCTTTGTGAACTGGGATATGCCAGACACAAAACACTTCTTATTCTTAGTGGACATAAACATGGATGACAAATTCAAGTGTAACCTCATCCCATGTTTGAGTACAGTTGTTAAAATAGTTTTCATAACATGGACACCATAAACAGGTGTATCCACGATTCTGGTTATGCACATGTACAGAACATGGAAAGTGTGCAAACAGGTTACGACCTATAAAAAGAAGCATCTCAAAAACTGGTGGAAATTTCCAATGAATACATTTTCACCAAAGCCCTCGAAACAATTGAGTCTTACAGATGCCTTCTGGACCTGGTTAACTGGTCGCATATCAAAGTAACATCATGAGCACTGCGAACGTGCTTCAAATCATGCACAAGTAACTAGACGCACACGCTTTCAATCTCATCAGTTTGATCAAAAAGTCATTTAGGTAATCAGAATTCAATCTGAATCCTGAACTAGAGTCACGTTTCAGTGCAGATAAATCACAATATGAAAGGCAGCTTTCTAAATAAAATGAAACATGTATAAAAACTACCATCTGATATTCTCATGAGACCAACAGTGCAGTCAAACGAGAGAAAATAAACTATGCATAAGAATGAAATTGATGAGTTTTACAATTTGTAACTTTCTTAAATGCATCACTATCAATTGTATAACGACATATCACCAAGGAGCACACAAGACTCATTTATTTATATGGCAGAGACACAAAGAAAAGCCCAAGTGGGTCCTTGTGAAAACCCTACAATGTCCATCATTTCATCTGCATGACAACCAAAGTACATGTATGAATTGCACAATGCTGTCCCTCCAAACAAAGGACCCTGATCAGAGATGGCTTCAGGGTGATAACCGGGTTATCATACAGAAATTTGATGGTAGATGCAAAACAGAATTACTGTACCATATTTAGCAATGATTTTTAAACAGTACTAATAGATTTTATGAAGTACATGTAACATGCATGAGATGGGATCTCATTTCAATTTGCTCATTTTTGAGCATATTGAACAATATTTTCAAAACTAAATTGGAGAAACTGTACATCTTGTTTTCTGATCTTGATGTCAAAGTTCTGACCCGGATTTTACTGAAAGTTTAACCCCTGTGCAAAATCCTGTCTCTATGAAAAAAGTTGAAATTTCATAGAAGTACACACACCGGTGCCTTCGCAATTTTGTGAGCAAAATTATTCTGCTATCTTGAAAAATAGAACTCATCAAGTAACATGCCCACAAAAAACCACATAAAATATTTTCCTGGAGCTCTTTTACAGACTTCTATTTTTCATATCAAGCAGAGATTAGCCGAATCTGTCAGCTGATAAATTAGAAATGAATTTATACAATCTTAGAGCTATACAGATTCCAACTGCTGGGGGCAAAATTACACAATCTCCCTATATACAAAATGAGCCTTGTCACTTGATCAAAAATTTGTCAGATCTCAAGATCTGCATAACAGTTTACCCCTGAAAAGTGTGATATCCTTTTAAAGCTTGGGGGCCAAAAATTGTCATAGTTTTTACATTTAGATCATGCTTTTTACATTTATGCATTTATGTAACCCCTCTGAAAATTAGTTCAGTGTTTGTAGATGTGAATTTGATGAACAAGCCTTTTATGATAAATGACTTTTTTTCTGCTATTACTAAAAAGCCAATTATTTCAAATGAATAAAAGATCACCTGAGAGGTCACTTGAGATCACATGATAACCTGACTTCTTGCCCCAAGTTTGGTCTACATTCGTGAATGCAAAACCAATGAATTTTCACATTATTTCCATTCACCAACTACAGCAGGACCTGGCACCAGTCTGCATGTTACAATAATTGCTACTGTTGATGCAGGTTCAATTTCTCTGAGGATCAGGTTCCTCAACTTGTCACTGGATTGCAATGCCACATGACAGCTCACATGGTATGAACTGTCACGACGAGATACGTAGCCCATCTTACCACACTACCTTTGGTCAATGACAACTTGCTCAAACACACCTGCAGACATTCTGTTTGAGAGACAAAAAATTTGGACAGATACATGAGAGTTGTTGGACAATTATTAGACAATTCAACAGCAATGGATCTACAGTTCAACCGGTTTATTTGACTGAAAGAAAATGTTGTTTAGTATTAGGAAAAGCTGGTGTATTACAAAACCTGGGTATACTACTGCCTCGAGATGTGGCCTATAAAATGTATCCACTTTTAAGCATCCCGAGGCATATGTCTCAGGTTTAAGACTGACAAGCTGCTTGTTACAATTAGCTTGTTAAAACTTGCTCACATAATTTGTTCTAAGAATACAATATTTCTCACAAGATATGCTGAAAATTCGAACTTGTATTAAGGTGTGTCTTGTTATGAGTCAGAGACAAGATCACATGGTATCCATGTTCCCACTATTATTGCATGGAGCCTCAAGCTTTCATTTGATTCCAATCCTACTCAAGATAAATTCTTGTTGATTACAATGACAATTACAAAGTTCTGACCTGTTTTTGAGTTGGTTGCTCCCCAACGCTGTTGAACCATCTTTAGCAATGAACAGCTGCAGCCCTTCATCTGTAAAGAGAGGCAGCATACCCAGTACTTTTAACACAGGAATGGTCTGATAACTTGAACAGAAACTGCCTAAATGAAGAGGGGTGGTTACACAAACTGTATGACTGTGGGTAGTTTTATTCACATGAACTCTGCAAAAGCTGGGACCCACTCTTTGTTTGAACTGAACATGAACAGCCACTTTGCAAAACGAATTATAAGTTGAATATGTTGCTTGCTTTTTTCTGACTACAGAGCATTGCTGCTTTTTTAAGGTAACTACTTTCTGTGGGTCCATACACAGGCAACCCTAATCGGCAGTTCAACGAGGGCCCTGGTCTCTAAAACTGTTCCTGTATCGTCCTACGTACCACCTGTGCTTTCATCTGCTTGGAAGTCCTGCTTGCTCATGATGTCATCGATGATCTCATCAGCATTAACTCGTGTGTCATCCACTCGTCGCTGTTGCTGGGATTCTTCCGCATGTTTCTACATCGAGAAGAATTGCATGATGGAACTTTGCAAGAGCTTGACTTGTACATTCAATGGAAGCATGCAAGAGCCATTCACTCTTGGCAGGCTGCCACCATAGGCATGCAGAGCCTTGATCTCGATCTTTACACAAGCCGGTTCAGTGATTCCCGTGTTTGTTGCTTAGTCACTCTGCTCGTGCTGTGTCAGCTCTTATACCATGTGATGGGACAATATTTGAAAGAGCTGCATTGACTAATTCTGCCGCAATTTACAGGCTGCCAGATTGAGGCTCTGCATGCCTATGGTGGCAGCTTACAAAGAGGGAATAGGATGTGGCACTGTTTTGCAATTTAAAGCTAGCTTTCCTTAAAAGATCTATGAATGCCCAGCTGCCCAGATGTCTTGGACATTAGAGTGATAAGAGAGTTATGTATGGTATGTTGATTCTCGGGGTTAACACTTCCTGAACATGGAACACAGATGATCATCCATCATTTGCTAAGCTACGCTCTGATGCTTTTTAGGCACAGTAATCCACTCACTGATCAAAACGTCTCATTGGTTGATATACAGCATTCCAACACAGGAACAGAATTTTTCAGTTTTAGGGTGTGACACTGTTTTCACAAAAATCCACCTTTCACGTAGACTTTTCAGCTGCAAAGTCCAATATCTTCAACCAGAACTGCCATCTTAACCTACCCTTCGTCTCTCATTGGTACCCTTCCAGGACTCCTTGGGCTCCTCGTGCTCTGGCAGGTCTGTCAGGCTCTGGGCACTGGAGAAATGCTCGGTGGTGCTGGAGGAGCGGGAGTGAGTACTGCTGTAGCCACTGGCCCGGGACTGCTGGCTGTTGTAACTGGAGCTGCGGGAATGGCCCTGCTCAAACGTCTCATCTTCAACGATGCCACTGCTGCCAGACTCGGCAGCTGATACTAGACCTATAAATGCCAATGATTGTGACCTGGTATTCAACTGTTTTAAGTTAAATGACACAACTGCACCCTGCAAAATATCAGAAAACCAGAAAACCAGCTCAGCAATGCAAATTCACAATAAAGTCAACAATTTGAGTTCCACTGAACGGCAGCTGGTAAGGGAGAAACGCTTTAATAACAAAGACCAAATCATGCTTGACATAGAAAGGCGCAGCATAATTTCTGCCCAAATATGTTTGAGTTCTTTCGGCCAGTCAACATGAAACAAGGAGTAATATGAAATAATATGCACCAGCACATCTGTATACATGCATCTTTGCTTTTGTACCCACTTTCCACTTTATATAAGGAGTAGGGAAACATGTTAATTGTTTGTCTATAAATGCAAATTTTTAACAACAATTGGCAGTCACATCTTTGTACTGCCTTGCTCACTACTCGGAGGCCAGTGAGAAACGCTGTACCAGTACCTTGGTAAATTCATGAGTTCTGCCCTTACTCAATTTGAATTGCTTAGCTTTCCAGTTTCCTTGACTGCAGCCAGAGATGTAATTCAAAAGAATCCTCAAGTACGCACAGAGTTAGCAACAAACTGCAACTATTATGCAGTCCTTGTGATTTGGAAATTGCAGGTGTGTGGAAAAAAAAACACTCCTGGACATTTCCAGGCGTGCAATTTTTCTAGGCGTGTGATTTGGAAAAATGAATCAAAACCTTGGGTCAAACAAGACAGTAAAATAGAAAGATAAAATTGGCTCAACATTACAAACCGGTACAAACAATCAAAAAACAAACAAAAAAATGGTGCAACAGTTTCAGATCACACCCGCTTACTTCAAGCAAACTCAAAGAGATACGTCCAATGCATGTAAAAAGATTCAAAGTTTTATGACAGTCACAAAATCATGCCCTTTCCAAAATAGCAGCCTTGACGGACCATGCAGAGCTGCTGAGACACAAGATCACTCCAATTCTTCATTAAGTTTCTCAAATAAATCTCCCGATTTTCCAGAGGTTTCTCTTCGCCAGATCTCCTTCCTGTGAGTAATTTCCGTTCATAACGCTGAAAAAGTTTATTGGGAAACATCAGGATGTTTACGTGTCTGCACACAAAAATCTGCTGTGATCCACGCTGGCATGATCTCTCCATGGCTTTCACGCACTATGTTGTGCATCATGATTGACTGGTCTGGTCCCAGTCTCGACTTCCAAGGAATTCTTTGTTTCACTACGCATAGGGCGCGGGAGCCTGCATCGTGCAGCTGCGAGTAAAAGCCCAATTTTTTTTTCCCGAAAAATGCCGTTGTGATCGGAACAACTTACAGGACACACATCTCCATGAAAAACTTGGGATAATCAGGGAATTCATTGGAAAAATTTGACTGAAAAGTGGTGTCATCTCCTGTTACTGTGTTTGACGTGTAGAAGCATGTAAAGCCGTGTACAGTCTGGTGTATGTAGCATTACGCATGCAGTAACGCTTGCTGCAGCACTGTGCAAAGTGCATGTGCTGAACGATTGTACACTGACAGAGCTGTTGCACTCAACTGTTTCGCCGGGAGAATAAAAAGTGATTCTGTCATCACTACCTGTTAGGTAGGCCTAATGTTTGATTCTTTTCATTTCATTTTTCTCACAAATGGCAAAGTATAATTATAAAGTAAGCTCATGCCGAGGAGAGCGGTACGAAGGTTTCAGGCGTGTAATTATTTGCACTTCTCAGGAAGCTTTTAGGCGTGCATGGCATGGAAGTGCAATCGCATGCCTTAAAACAAAAGGACTGTATTATGTCATTAACATGGTTCAGTTTGCTTTAGCCTACCTGATGTCAAAATGTTTGGTCTAGGCTTGCCTTGCCGGCTTCTTGCACTGCTGTCACCAACCAGACTGCCCATGCCCGTGTACTCATTCCCTCGAAGGCTGGACTTGGGCATCTCATCTTTCTTAACCTCTCCCGGCAGAAAATTCTGCACTACATCCGGCCTGAACACAGAAAGAGAGCAAAGTGCTGAGGATTATGTTCACAATTTGGTGTGTCTGCATCTTGTTGCAAGTTGTCAAAGGCACATCCTATCATGAGGGAAGATCCTATGGATGTCAGTATACATGTTTGTATGTAAACACCTGCAAAGTGATGATTTGCCAGAGGGACCAAGTGCAGAAAAACACAGCAAAGTACTTAAGTATGTCTACGTAACCCCCATCCATCAACCCCCATCCATCAACAGTTATCGATTGGCTGGGACATTGGATCTGCCAGCTCTCCCACTGTGTTAATGCTGACAGTATTGTACACACAGCTAAGAGCCACACACAGACATATGAGACACATGCCAACAGGACAGGGGAAAGATAGAGGGAAGATTTAAAGCCAGTCTATAATCAGATAATCCTCCACTTCACCAAGTATCAAATGCTGACATCTGATCTATTTTGCACCTTTATACCAGCACCCAAACTGCTTTTCAAAGCATGAACGTGTTTATTTATATGGTGGGTGCTGCAAATGACCATTACTTGGTTTTCAAAGTTTTAAAACATTCTCAATGGACACTGCGCACAGCATTTGATTACAATCCATGATCTGAATTTCTGAAATTGTTCGAAACCTTTAATCAGAATCCAAATTCTACAATCCATATTTTACAAGTTAGATTTTGTATTGGATCTCGTCCCTCTAGATTAACCTTTACACAGAAACCACATTGGTCACGCTGGTAGATTTACACAATATTGCAAACACCTTACCCCAACAGCCCTGAATCCTCCAATTTTATATGATTTTACACACCCCTAGGGAGTTAGGGTTAAGTGACAGTTGATTTATATCAGGATGTTAAATTTTATACACTTTAAATGAATTTACCTATACATACATCTGTGAAAACACAAAATGTATACCACTTAGTACATTTGATGTTCCATTTTACCAGTATGTTTGATTTCAATATGCAACCAAGTACCAACAAAGCACCATTCCTCTTTATTTTGACAACAAATTCCTTCCCATACCTCCTACCCAGTGCAACACTTTATTCATCCAGAAAATCAGTAAATAGAAGGGGCCAACTGTATCAAGTTGTAAACAGCCTGTCCTAACCTTTCCCCAAGGGGTTATCAATTCCTGACATTCAACTCACAGTATCAATGTCCGAATGCCAAGATGCTGATGAATTACCCATGCATTCTACAATTCCCCGGGCAGACTGGCCAAGCAGTATACATGTACACTGTACATATGTACAGTGTACTGTACATGTACTACTTACACATGTACATGTACAGTAGTTCATCTCATCACAGGCCTGTGCTAGGAAGACCAGGTCAGGATGGCCTGCAGTGTTGCCTGAGGCTACAATTACAGCCTCTTACACTCATCACTGGCATTGTCCCTTGACAAGACATTAACTGATTTATTCATCTAGGTACACGGTAGATGGGGTTGGGGATGCAATATTGTGTGGGACTGTTAATCACTTCCATCTCCAAAATGGAACAATCAAGGTTGTGCCCACCCTTAAATAAACACAAATTTGGACAATGCATAAATAAAAAAAATAATGACAATATTGTATTTGTCAACGAAGGTGCTTGAGGCTGGGTTGCATTCTGGAATTGGGCTGCTCTGGATTTGTACCTCCAGCCCCTCTCCAAGAGATGGCCAACTTGATCAAAACCAAAAATCTGTTGAGAGGTACTGTCAGTTTGTATTTGTGCTCACATTGATATTTGTAAAACAATGACAGCTTAAAATGGCTTGTGTATTCGTGCTGAATGGGGCTGTGATTCACACACTGTTTGGTAACTTTGCCAAGTCTTTGAACATTTGTGGCAATAACTTTCTGCTCACAGATCTTACGATTGTTCTTTTTCTATGAAACAAATCTGGAAGTTATCAATTTCTGATGATTAATTGTGGAAGCTTGATTTGTCTAATAATCAACGTTATCTGTTCTGAAAGTGGAATAGAGAAATATAGTTGTGGTGGAAACCATGACTTATCTGGGGATTTACAAAATCTTTTCCGGATATACAGGTTTGGCTATAAATAGAAAATCAATTATATCAGTTTATGACGGTTTCCTGCATGTTATGATGTCACAGGTTCTAAAAATAACAAATACATATTAACAAGAGATGGTTTTCAATGTTTTATTGCAGCACCCACAGCCAAATGGTGGCTACTTGTAGTAAAAAACTTACTTTCATTTCTGTTGTGCTCACCATGTCCCCCCCAACTTTAACCCCAAATTTGTGATTTATGCACTGAAACTGTTGCTCTTATGCTCCACCATTGTTTGCAGAGCACAGGAGCAACAGTTTCAGTGCATGTATCACAAAAATCACAAATTTGGGGTTAAAGTTGGGGGGGGGGAAGCATGGTGAGTGCATGTAATAAATACTGTTAGATACATAGTTTACTATGTACATGTATGAGTACCAGTCTGATAATAGGGAATGTTTGATGGGGCCAGACAGTGGCTAGTCAACTGTTATAGGACTAGACAGAACCGACACTTGTTGACTAGACAGAACATTCCACAACTAGACAGGTGTCTGTATCACTTCAGCCATACAAAAGGTACAAATAAAACCTGTTCCTACTAGTACATGTACTTGTGTATGCGCCTGAGGCTTGATCAACTATTGGACCACACACTTTTCTATAACACAACTTCGGGTAAATCTGAACTTTTCTCTAGGCACTTAAAGACAAAGGACAGGCACTATTAACAAGAAATTTGTACAGAATGTAACCCACCCATGTGACAGTAAAGCCACTGAAGTCAGGCCCCTCAAACACAAACCCAAATATTGGGCTATAGGCCCAATGTGAATTCTCTGTGACGAAATGTTTTAATTGAACCAACAGTGAGATACTGTACCGTTTACAATGACAAGTTAAACTTAATACTAATCTTAATCAATATTTTGGCTGCCAGGCCAGAAGTTGGCTGGTAATCATGGCATTTCACTTGGTGGCTAGATCAAAATCTGTGGTAAATGTATCTTGCATGGTTTCAGGACCAAGTGCACAAGGCTGGAATAAAGGTCCTTCTCACGTCTTAATTTTCCCAGCCAAGACCCCCCTGATGTGGTCTGTCCAATGATTTCTTTTGATACTGTTGGACCACAGCAGACATGAGTCCAAGTTGGCTTTAGACGTGTTCCCAGTGGACTTTTTCTTCCGTGGGCACATAAGTTAACCGAAAAATCCAATGGGAATACGGCTTATGGCAGTTTTGCTACATTAGCTAATATGTGGGCTGGCACATGATTCTCTGCAACCAAATATTAGCATATTTCTCCTTCAAAGTAGAATGATAGATTTTCAAAATTTCTTCTCTGACAAAATAGACAGATGAAATTGTGGAAGGTGTACTGCAGATACTTACGCTTTGAAGCAGGGATCTCCTGATAATAACGTCATGTCTATGCTAACCTGTTCAAGAAAAGAAAAAAATTATTACATGGATGAAACTATTGATCATCAACAGCATTTTAATATGGAGCTGCAACAATGATAAATCCAAAGGTGTAAGTTTCTGCTTTCATTATTACCACCACAAATAAGGTTAATTGGTGTTTTCAGAAATCATCATGGCAGCTCCAATTTCCACTACATGTATATAACTCCAAGCACCTGACATGTGGGACTGATTGAAATCTCAAATCAACTCTGTCCTAGAAAACGTTTTGCTCCCAGGCAATGAACAAATTTGATGCAAAGCTGCTTTCTGTTTTATAAATCCCCTGAGACAGATTCCACTCACAGTCCTGAAAAATTAAATGCAAGTCCATGGGTGTACATGCAATGTTTTGATCAATGGCTCAAAAAAATGGGAAAATTTAAAGGCACCAGACACCACTTTCCACTTAAAGTATTTAAAGTGAAGAGCAGAGGTTTTACCTTTAGAATACTGTTGTCTAATCTACGCGTGTCATAACCCTCCAGCAGGTACCTCCTTGTAATCCGGCCTGAACCTGCATACTCGGCCAGATTGACATCAGCAAAGCCATACTTGACATAAGATTTACCCCCTTTCACCTCCTGCAGAGGATTTAAAAGATACATGTAAATTTTAAAAATTTAAACACGTTGCTAAATAAATCAACTTATAACCCACACTTCTTGTACCATGAACAGTCCGAAGGAAAGAGAGCTTCATAAACATTTTAATTGAAAAAAAATGGCGTCCAGTGCTATGCACCTTCTAAGTGAAAGAGGTTATCACCATACCTGCAAGTATGGGAATACTAAAACTAGGTCCTTAATTTTGCAGCTACATGTAGAGTGCATTTTAGGGAAATACAGAAAGAAGAATGTAAGTTAAACAGACCTTATGTTATATGCATGTTATCTGAGATAGGCTTAAAGGTCTGACAATTAATAGTTACATGTAGATTCACAGTAGGACAGTGACGCAACACCATTTTTAGTTAACTTAAGCTTTTTACATGTAGTGGTACTTTTCATGTTGAAGACCTGTAGCTAAATGCAGCACCAATAGTCTTCCCGTATTGAAGTCTTATGTAGGCATTATTCTGTTCACTTATTCAGCATTTTCTTGAGTAAACAGTGAGACCCAGAGGCATTCGAAAGCATTCAGGTAAGCTCTGTGGTATACAAAACTGCCAACAACACAATGTAGCTTGTGTATTTCTGTATTGTCATTGTATGTGCAATAATGACATCTCTATTTTTATGGAAGTATCAAGTGTTTGGAGGAGATAGGTATCTGTACATGTGTACATGTCTAGACTTGACAACCATTCAAGTTCTCTCTGTCATTCCATTCAGCATGCAGTGACACACAGTGGCTGTCAAGTTTCTAACTCTCATGTATTATTCAAGTCTGGATAAGCTGCCCTGTGATGGAAACGTGGAGGAATGCATTATTCATCTCAAAATATACTGCTACATGTAAATATGGGGCACTTTGATAGTTATCCCTGGATGTCGCTATCACTCCATTTGTTCTCTACACTCTATTCTTTGTACAAAATGTCATAACTCTTTTTGCCAACTCGGCTTGCCCACTAATACCATCAAAAGACTGATACTATGATATAGAAGATCTGTACTGGCTAAAAAGGGCTTCCAACATTCCATTCATATGAACAATTTACCAACATTCACAAAGACTTGGGAAATCAGGTTGACATTTCTCTATTAAAGATGCCTTCTACTGCAACCTGCTTCTTTACCATGGGTTTCCCCTGGAGTCACATGCACTGTCCTCCCACCTCCACTGATTTCTGTCTTACACTTTAATATTTTGTGTACTTTTGAGGAGTCCTTAGTTTCATTACCAATACTACCAAGACACAAACTCCACATTTCAAATTACAGGCTACTACTAAAGATTGTTTAGAGAGAGATCTTTCATCCTCCTATTTCAACTATGAGAACATGTCACACAAGAGGAATATCAGGGCTGAAAAAAAGGCAAAATTGAAGGTGAAAAGACCCTGGGAAAAAGGCAAAATTGAAGGTGAAAAGACCCTGGAAAAAAAGGCAAAACTGAAGGTGAAAAGATAGGGTCCCGAAAAGTAGGGCGACTGCAGAGGACAAAAAGGGTCTACAGTTCTGACAGTCTGGCCTTGGTTAAATTTATGATGGATTTCTGCAGTTGAAATATTGAAGCAAATTGACCTTATTTGTGTGCGGTTATTAGGTCTTGACGAGGGTAACACTTTTAACAGGGGGGAGCAGGAGTTGAAAAGGTCATGCTTCTATGCTATGAATTACATCAAAATTCCTAACTTCACTGCTACAGAAATGGTTGTGTGTGATGGTACTTTTAGGAATATAAATATACCCTCTCACTAGTGAAACGATCCTTTCAGACCTTGGTATCTTAAACTCTTGGAATGATGCTTCATCAAATGATGTCCTCAAATGGGACATGCATGCCCGGGGATGACATGTAGATACATGTCTACAGTTAACACAACCTTGGTACCAGTAACTACAGGAAATGATAGCTTCAGTTTTCCTCCTGCTATGCATCAGACATAACAGTAATTCCAAAACGAGATGTACATGCAAATGTATGTGGATGCAATGGTGATTTCTGGCTTGGATTTATTGTTCTGGTCTCTTTCAGTTCTCTCTGCTATTGGTGTGTACAGGAGCATTTACATGACATATACATGTACACATAAGGAGTCCTAGACAACTTCGTTCCTCAAATCCCTTCTCTCGCCTTGGTCCAATGTCTCGTTTTCATGCTTGTAGTGCTGAAAGTTATAACTAAAAAACATTGTAAGAATACCTACAAGCATGCCACGGACTGCAAATACATGTACATGTACATGTATGTACACACTGGTATACGTACAGAAATTCTCTTACCTCCTAGGCTTACCGTAGCTTCAACAGAAGATTTACCTCTTTATATAATGCAAAAGCTCAACAGTTATCAAGATACCTGTGCTCCACTGGCACACAAGTGGAGTCTGTGATAAATTTATCCTCCCTTGTCTTTCACTTTCAGCAAGGCTCTCGTGATTTGAAAATGAGCCCAAGTACATGTAACATCCTGCAGTAGGCACTCTTTTTATTGATCACACTTTTCTGAACTGCAAACCTCTGATAACACACATGTATGTGATTGACTACCCTGTCAATGTTGTAGGGTTACTTGGGGTAACCTTCTGTTACTTTACCTTTGTATTGGTATCTTCCCAGTGTCGTAGTGGCCTCAGATTGAACCCTAAGAATTGTGATGAACAGGGGATCCTAGCTACATACATAATACCTGACATGCATGAATGAGCTGGAGGGTGTAGGTACCAGAACAGGTGTCTAGTCTATTATTTCATGGCACTGTAACCTCTGATCCATCGACTTTCATGTATTCCTCAAAGACCTATCTTTATCTTTTGGCTTTTAACAGACCACATGTACATTGTATGTGTGCCCCAATATACCGGTAGTGCAAAACTGAGCTTCCCGGCAGCACTTGAGGTGAACACAGATTCTTGATGATTTTCAGCTGAAAACAGTGCTGCCCTACCAGTGAGAGCAGAGTTAGAGCAAATTACATACATGTAAAACCACAGAGCTGTGGCGAACATGCAACATACATGTACCGGTACATGTACAACTGTGTGTGCACTGTTCAAATGCATCACATTTGCAAGCCCATGCAGTCACACAGCATGCAGCACTTTGCATGGAATGCGTACATACCTGACGTACTCGTACATGTTCATGTACACATTGCTTTTCACATCACAAAAAATCAGATCAGATGGTGGGAATAGCGATGTGTCCGTAACTGGAATGAGTTTTCGTTTTTTTCCCACAACTGCAGCTGTGGTTCAATGCAAAGCCCACTCTAGAAGAATACATGGCCAGGTCTAAAACCTGATGCTCAATGTACTGTACATGTAAATGTACATGTACTTGGCCATGCTGTGTGCATACCAGATATACATCTACCAACCTACATGTATTATTGTAGGGTTGGTAAGGGTTGGAAATGAGGTATACTATACATATATGCAACAGCTTATTTGGTACATGTGTCATTTTCTGTGCTGAACATAACTCGAGTGTAAGGTCAAAAGTTCACTTTCGCCTTTCAGTAGTATGCTTTGTTTTGTTTCAACATCCGGCGCACTGTCACTCCAGGTACATGTATGACCTACAAGTACAGGTCTGAATAATGAACAAACTAGCACAGGAGTGGATGGGAAATTAATCATACACTCATATCCTCACACTTCACGGCCGTCACTTTGTTAAGTTTGAATTGTTTGAATTCTTTTAAAAAAGAAAGTATTCTGTTGAGTTTACTCATTCCAAATAAAGATTAACCCTAACACTCCTCAATCCTTCACCTGTTGGAGGAGTGAGGAGTTAAGCATCCCATACAACACAAACAGGGGAATTTTGGTAGTGTGGATATATGTATATGGGGGTGTTTTTATAAAGGGGTTGCTCTGACTGATAAGTTACTGGTACCAATAGAGTACGTTTCTCCATGGTAGACCCTAGGAGCAAAGAAACTGGAAAACCAACTAGGGTAGAGCAGGTCTCCCAAGATCTCTGATGTACACTGTACACAAGGTTGTTTTCACTGTGTAATGCCTTTGGCGGCAAGCCAGGACAACTCGCAATGGATCTCTGACAGTGATTAGAAGTGCCTGCTCCAATAATGGTCTGCCTTGGGGTCAGGCCCCGCTAAACTGAAGTGTCTTTTGTGACATGGAACCAATCTCCTGTCCTCCTCCACAGGGGAAAAAATTACACCCAAAAGATAATATATAAAAATACTTAAGTTGCACCAATGGCCCTACACAAACACCCTCTCCCTCCAAAGAAAAACAATGTCAATACTCCCATTGCGAACACTCCACAATTTCTGTGACCAACATGTTCTGGTCTATCAAACCTACTCAAAACTGCAGATATATAGGGTATTTTAGGGAATGTAGAGGATTGTTTTTACTGTAAGTTTTCAACTTCTCTATGAACAGTTCTCTGCTTGTAATGCATACATTTGTACAGTGTGCATAAACCTGTACATGTACATACAAAAGCTATGGTATGTATGGTACACTGACTATGCACACATACCAGTGCTTCGGGTAAATTGCATATACCGGTACATGTACATACTGTACATGTATATCCCAAGGCCTCATCGCTATTTTTTGCAAATTTTGTCAAATACTGGTCCCCCCCGAACAAGCAAATTCAAATAATAAAAATGGGATGTGCATGTACATGTACTGCATTCACTATGTGCGCAAATGTTGAAACTGTGGGTTTGTAACACCAGTTACTGTACAATGGAAAAAGGGTAATACCCACTATATTGATAAAACAGAAAGAAATAATCAAGGAATTGGTTGTCTGTACAGAGTCAAGTGCACAACAAAAAGCATTGTATTTTCATGAAGCTTTCATTTTATCAGGAATTTCTCAGATATCTAAATGTTACTTACAGTACATGTACATTTGTCAAAGTTCCTCCAAACATGCTCTTGTATATACTGTACCAGCGCTGGTAACTGCATTTAAATATGCACAGTACATGTACATTATCAATGATCCCGTTATCTGTGTTTAACGGGGTCCTGCTCCCGCGCAAAGATGTCTGTCTATATTAGATCATAAATGACGATAAAATGATCCAACTTTAGCAATCTTGGTGGCATCCGAGAGGGTGCATGCTCCTCTTTTATGTGCGAAAACAGATGGATCTGTTTACAAATCTTTGTCTAGAATGAAAGTTGTTGCTATCCCACATCCCACTGACCCTTACAGCGCTTTGATTTTGGAAGAGAAAAAAATAACAATTTGGTCATCATATAGATTTCCATTCCCTCAGTCCATCCATACGCAGGCGTTGTGCGTGAATATTTAGAACAGAGGCTTGGATGTGTTATTCCTCGGCAGTTCAGCAAGCCTTTACTAACATGCATTTCAGAGCTGCAGGGAGACTAGCCGCCTGGAGAGTGGTTAAGTGCCTGGCATTTGAAGGTTGGCTGGCAGTGGCAGTGAAAATGCCAACCTGTTTGGCCTCACATGAAAGACAAATGGCCAGATTAAATGAGGATTTGGGGGCAGCAGTTCAATCCATACAGTGAGTTAAAATGTTAACTACCGCGGATAAACAAGACAGACAGGGAAGGGCATAGAGCAGGTATTAACAACCTGTTTAAAACTTTAAAGACGTTGAAAAACAATGTTAAATGCATTACATAATTTTTACAGCACTTGTACTGTACAGCCTTTTGTACTTGCACAGGTAGTTTGAAAAAGGAAATTTGTCATTCCCAAAAACCTCCCCTTTTGTCAGGCTGGTATCTACTGTACACGCACACAAATGTACACACAAATGCACAAGAACAAATTTACATGCGCAGGTAAGCACAATTTGGCCAGATTTCAGTTGTGTACAGACTTTATGACATGCCTACCTCCCTTCAAAGATAAAAAACATTGGAAAAGAAAAATAAAGACAGATTTATCTCTAGCATCTAAATGCTGTACTCGTATTTAGACCAAATGGGGATTACCACACATTAGCAGTGTCTCTTATCAGTTGCAAATTTTCACCGTTGACTTGAGTGCTGTCCTAGATTCTCACTTAAATGGTGCTGAAGTGCATGTGTACGTGTATGTTTGGACACGTACTTACATGCTGTGAGCAGAACATGCATCTTGAATGCATTCTGCATATTTTTTTTCTGCAGGTGATGAGCTCTCTCTGCAACATTCAGATAAGTCATTACTTACTGCATGTACGTGTAATTTGGCACTTCACAAGTATCAAATGAAATTAACGATGCCTGAAGCAAAATATCAAATATCAATCCTTGCTGATATTGTAACACAAACTGCATCGATAGCTGGCATGGTTGTGAAGTGCACTTCATTTCACGATCACTCATTGCTGAGGAAAAAAAAGTTAAAAGTTCATTTGCCTTTGAGTGCCACACGCAGTTATATCTGATCAGTTGAGGCTTGTGTGGAAATGGTCATAGCAGTACTGCTTCCAATCCACTGCCAGGGAATTTCCCAGTACTGCAGACTGCAAATGATTATTTGCCGGTCAGGAATGGGAAGCATGAATCAGTCCTAAGGGATTTCAATTTTATATGTCACAACATTACTTTAATGAGACACCCAAAGTCTCTGGTGGTACGGGGGGGTAAGTTTCTGAAACAGGATCGGGTATGAGTCACAAGGATGTTGAGTTTGGTCTGGTATACATACATGTAAATTCATGTGCCTATTCATATATGACCCAAATGACAGGATATTATGCAGAGTCGCTTCTTGGAAATAAAATTTTTATCGTGAAATGTACATGTACATGCACACAGTAGTAAGACGTAGCAGGATACTGCTTCCTAGAGATGTACATGTATGTCTGTGTACAGAAAGAAACCCAAATGTACCGGTACGAAAAAGTACAACTACTGTACCAAGATGATGCACATGTACTCACATCACAGTTACAGACCAATATCACACACTCAGGGGAATCTGTTATTACCTAATTTTGCCAAGCCGTCTGCACTAGTAAGCAGGAGGTTATGGGTTCGAGTCCTACACAAGTAAGCTTATGAATTCGGCTACGCACTCAGTACAATGTTTATACGTCAAGTAAGGGCAAAACCTGTAATTAAATTACCTAAGTTTGAAAACAACTTTTACATGCGTCTGTGTAGGAATGACTACTCAGTATATCATAAAGGGAAGGTGTCAAATCCACTTATCAGTGGCAAATACAGCTTTTGCCACAATATGCACTATAAACATGTACTCACGTACCTTTCGAACAGACACTCGACAGTGGCAGGGCTCCAAGATTCCTGTGGAAGCATTGGCGCTCATCCGACAGGTGAAGTTTAGTGTAGCCCCCCATTTTACTGAATGGTCCGACACCTCTTCTCTGAATTCAAGAAAATAAAACATAAGTGAAAAAACATTGACAAATCTGCACTTTTGGATCTAATTACGAACTTCGTGTCAAACACAAACAAAACAAAAAATCAACCCCACCTCATCCCACACCAACAGATACACGGTGAGGGAGTGAAAAAGCAAAGCTAAGTGAAACTACTGGTATATAAAAACTGCTCACCATCACAATACCTAGTCCACTAATCCTTATGTCCAGCAAAAGTGTGTATAATTGTATGCAAGAACATGTAGTGTGCATGCACGTACCAGGTAGCCCTAGGCTAGTAGAAGTGGGTAGGCATTTACCGCGCTAAGGGGACAAGTTCTTTTGTTAGGGAAATTTGAACCGAGTTGTGGGGACATTTTTGAGTCCCCACAACGTTTTTGGTCCCCACCAAATAGGTGAAATGTCGCGTGTATGTCCCCACAACTACGGTGCGGGAGTGTGTGCATTTCAATGCAGCAGCATTTACTGTTTAAACCGTAATTCTCTGCTTTGTCATTACCGATGAAGCAGTCCCATCAGTCAAGAGCAATGTACATTTGTTAACTTTATTTCAAATGTGTACATATGTAATAAATGAAAATACACAACTCTCGCTATGTGGTCAATGTAACATACTGGTACCAGGTAGAACAATTTATGCCAAGTCAGGTGTACAATCACCAACTCCCGAACCGTAGTTGGGGGACATACATGTATTACTTGACATTTCACCTATTTTGTGGGGACTGAAAATGTTGTGGGGACTCAGAAATGTCCCCACAACTCCGGTCAAATTTCTCCAACAAAACAGAACTTGTCCCCTAAATGCGGTGAATGCCTACACGGTACCCACGCAGGCAAGTCTTCATACCTACACCTGTTCCTTGGTTCTAACCGGTTCGGGACCACATATTGCATGACAGATACTGTGAGGACATTGGAAAGTCCCCACAATTCTATCCATACATCTGCCCAACCAACCATAAAGCCTCTCCCACCATGCACAGGGGGCATTTTTCACACAAATATCCCCTGTAGATACTCTTCTAGTACTTCTGTGTACATATGAACAGTAAAAGTCTACGTAGTGTGTTCTTGTACCCACATTGCAGTACATCCTTGACAAAATGGGCCACCAAATTCTTTCATTTTAACCTTGCCATACATGTAGGGGTGAACTTTCCCTGGGGGTATATTTGGGTGGGGTGCTAAAAAGAACTGACTCCAGATTATCCAATTATTGCTGAGTATGGGGTACATGTCTCGCACTGTACATGTACAGAATTGTCAGTGGGCAAAAGATTGTGGATGTCAAGTGACCTTGCCAACTAAATGTCAGAAAGTTTGAAAGATCTCAGCAGCCTGAAGTTCAGCCTCAAACTCACTCAAAGATTCAGCCACAGATAGTTGCAGGAGTTTACAAATAAACCGAAGGTTTATAGGTGTGTCCACTCGAGATGATTGGATTAACAAAAACAAAGTTTTGCCACTGTTTCCCAGAATTTGTCACCAGTAGCATTGCACTGCCATAACTTGAAATGATAAACAGATTCATGGTGGTGACCTAAAAAAATTTATACATGTATGTACAGTACATGTATACACGTATGTACATGTATGTGGAAAATGGGCTACAATACATTTCTGTATTACACTGTGTAAAACTTACTCTAACTCTGTAAAGTGCAAACACAAAGATTTGTAAGTTTTTAAATTGATGGCACCATTTTATACATGTATGAGAAAACCCTCAAGCTCCTAACCAGGAATGACTTTATTCAACTTAGATTTTATTATACGCTGGTAGGGGCCACTTCATTTACTAACAGTCTGTGGTATTTTGCAAAGCAAGCCTTTAGCATGACTAAGATTTTGGCCCAGGCTATACATGTAAGTGTTTGCATGAATCATTACTGGCTCTAAAATGAGGTTGGAAAGCCTTTGTCAAGTTCAACAGAGTTGCTCTAAAATGAGGTTTGAAAGCCTTTGTCAAGTTCCTTACCAGGAATGACTTTATTCAACTTAGATTTTATTATATACTGGTAGGGGCCACTTCATTTACTAACAGTCTGTGGTGTTTTGCAAAGCAAGCTATTAGCACGACTAAGATTTTAGCCCAGGCTATAAGTGTTTGCATGAATCATTATTGGCTCTAAAATGACGTTTGAAAGCCTTTGTCAAGTTCAACAGAGTTGCTCTCACATTCATGAACGATGCAATAGAATACTACGAAACAAGCTTCAGGACTCTTTTACATGTACTGGTATGTATTACTGAGGCAATACCACATCTGAATTACATAGCGCCATTTTCATACACCTAGACTGAGCAAGGAAGGTTCTCACTTTATGATTTGATCTGATAAATAGATGGCATGACCTGTTAAAAATGTCTGCGCAAGTATCAGGAATGCACATCTTCTACAGCTAGGAATGCACTGTCTGATACCTTCAGAATGTCAACGACTCTCTGGCAAAGAGGGGGTGGTGCCTTGGAGAGCAAACAAGGTCAAGTCTGCTGTCAAAGGTCAGCCTTGTTGAGAAAACCTGCTTGTAGCAATGCAGAGACATGTGTTGTAAGGCTGGCATGTCTGTGACAGGATAAATGTGACAGTTTGAAGGGCCATCACATCCTAAAGTGCTGATTGTTTTCCAGGACAGATTTTTCTATATTTAAACCACAGGGGTTGTTACACTGACCTTGAACTGTAAAATGAGGAATTAAAGTGAAAATCAACATACATACCTCCAGCAAATGGCAAGGCCCAACCAGCCTGAGTGTTCTACATGTACACGGATGTACATGTACAGTGTACTTTGTAGTTAAATATATGTATTGAACTTGATTATGCACGTACATGTACATGTATGTGTTTTAGACAAAGGTTTCTTTGAAGTTACAGAGCACTCTTATGGGGAGTGCAATGTAATTTAAGTCACTTGTCATTGCTGCTTTGACTACAGAATGTTTATATAAATTTCTTTCTCGACATACAATGTACAGTATCAGTAGTTTAAAACTCGAAACAATGGAATAATAAAGGATTCAACTTTGATGACAAATGTTGGTGTTACCGGCAGTGTTGCATAGTTTTTATGGGGAAAAATGTTCATGTAGGCCTACAAACAGTTGTACATAATCTTCGGAAGTGCGACTTACATATGCCACATGCAGGCCTATGTGATGTACTCTATATACCGGTATGTACACCCTCAGGTGATGATTGGCCCTGACCTTGCGAGATCACGTTTGCACATGTCCTGTTGCCAGCTGTCTTGGGTTTGTGACTCGTTTGTGTATGTGCTTGTTTTGTTTGTCTTCTCAGAGAAATTTTTTGGCATGGTACTCACACTTACATGTACAGGAATGTGGTCTTAAAATGTCGAAGTGCCCTCTTGGTTTATAGTAGAGCCAGCTCATGTACATGTACTAGTACATGTACAGGTATGAATCTGCACCGAGTCAGAACAAGAGCGAGAATGTTTCTTATATACCATATGTACATGTAGCGTCAACAGTCCTATGGTGCGACTTCACCACTTACCCGCACATGTTAATGTGCATTTGGCACAGGACGTGCTGAATACGCCTGACTAAAATCTATACGTGCTTTTGTATGTACGGTATTCATGTACATGTACACATCAGGTTCACACACAAGTGCATGTACAAGTCCACTCCTCCTAAAAAAACCTTCCCAACCAGCCTTTCTCTTCTTTGCCAATGAGGGTGCAAGGTACATGTACCAGGTAGATTATGGTCTACTGGTCCATTGCAGAGATATTTCTGAATTAAAAAGATCACTATGTAGTAAAATTTGAAAATCTCACTCAGAGTCAACAACCACTGTTCTTGTAATTCTCACACTCTTATTACGCATATGCCGCTTTTCAAGATTTGTATGTGAATGTACATGCACAGTGCATAACAATCAGTATACAGCTCAAGGTTTGCAGCCGCTCATCTTCCCAATTTATCAGAGATATGGCTAACTAGCCTTTATACCTTCATGTAAGACAGCTTTTTCTAGTAATAGGCCTACTGTACATGTACTGCCCATGTTAGAGTACGGATGTAAAATACAATGGCTTTTCAGAAGTGCCCACACTACCTGTATGTAATTTCTGTTCACAAAGAATCTGGTTCACAGATGGACATTTTAGCAAATCAAATTCACTGATCTTGATTATACCACCGTAGTACTGGGTAAAAGTATGCATACATGTCTGTATACAGTACAGGTGCATTGTACATGTATTTACCCACTGCCAAGGCACCTTTCACCGACATGAACTTAATCACAGCATCTCGTGACAATCTGCAAACTTTCAGTTTTGTTGTCCAAACAATAGTTACTTGTAAACTACCTGGGTGCATTTATAACATTTACTATTACTTTACTGGCATTAGGCAATTTGTGTGAAATTTGCGACAGCTACGAGAATGCACCCACAGTGCCTCAACAATCATTTTCCTTCATGTTTGTCCCAGGAAATACCCATGGTTCAAACACTTCGGTTTGTTTGTAGAGCACCTCCTGTTCTCCCTCAGGTAAACATTCACATACAAAGAAATAATCAGGTACACCAGACTTGGACTATGCAAACAGAAAGCTGTGCGAGTTAACATATAATGTACCGGTACATGTAGATATGTACCTGTATTTACTACAGGCCTACTGCAGAACCGAACCATACTCATGGAAATCTCTACTGAACCTTGCGTTCTTATTACAAATTCATGTAACAATAATATAATAATTAATAATAATAATTTATTCATTTATAAAGTGCAAATTTCATTTACCGTAGATACCGGTACGTTCAAATGCGCTGTACAATGGAGACATTAAGCGTGGAACAATGAATACATTTAAACATATTTGAGCCGATGGCATACAAGGGTGCCTCAGGCAGCCGCCAAATGACCCGCATTCACCAACATCAGTGAAGAGTAGACAGTAAGAAGCAGTTACACGTTTTGAGGTGGGAGGAAAACCCCAG